GTCTTAGTCTGTAAGCTGCGTTGAAACCTGTGCACCATGTGCAACTCTGCTGGTGTCTGAAACACCAGTGGCACAGCCTCAAGCCTCACAGCAATTCACAAGCCTCACAGGATGACAAACTGACAGACAAGTTTGTCTCCCTTAGCTATTGGAAACCTCTGCACCCTCCTCTTACCTAAATCCTACCTGAAGCTTGCCACTCTGTGGTCCCCTGCTGCTCCTGGTCTTCCTTTTCCTGGCTCTAGGCAGCTTGGGGCCTAGCCTTGCCTCCCGTCTCTTTTTACCTGGATATCCTGGCACTCCTGAGGTCCCAGAGGGTGCTCCTGGTCCCTCCCTTTCCTGGCTCTAGGGGACTTGGGGCCTAGCCTTGCCTCCCGCCCCCTTTAACCTGGATATCCTGCCCAGTGTACGCTCTGTCAATCAGCTGGGCTCCTCAGGAGCTCGAGGGCAGGTTCCTGGGAAGGGGGTACAGGTCCTCCTTGTTGCTAACTTCCCCACCTCTTCCTCCAGCAGGAGCACTGGTTTGAAAAGGCCCTTTGAGAGAAGAAGGGCTTCATCATCAAGCAGATGAAGGAGGACGGCGCCTGTCTCTTCCGGGCTGTAGGTGAGTCTCTGCCTCAGCCCTCAAGGGCCTAGGGCTGTCTCTGAGTTGTGTCTCAGTTGTCAGGTGTAGCCCCTGAGATGGGGTTGGGGGCAAAGTTAGCTGGTCTTTTTACCAGTTGCCATCAAGTCTGTTCTGACTCATGGAGACCCCTTGTGTGTTAGAGTAGAATTGTGCTCCGTAGGGTTTTCAGTGACTGATTTTTCAGAAGTAGATTACCAGACCTTTCTTCTGAAGCTGGTATCATAGGGACTCTTAAGATTTAGTATCTGGCTTCTAGGAGGCAGTGTGGTGGTGTGAGAGTAATATAATAGCAATAATAGTGATAAACAAAAATGCTATCATTTATGGGTAGAGTAATCCATCAGGTACTATAGGAATACCCTTTAAATTCTCCCCCAAACCAGACAAGTGGAGGGACTACTGCTTCCATTTGTCATGTGAGAAAAGTGACTCAGAAATGGGGTGTGACTTACCCAGAATCAAACAGCTAGTAGGTGGTAGAGTTGGGATTCTGACTCTGGGTTCCATTAGTCTGAGGTGTGCGCACTTAACGACAGCATGCTCTTGTCACTCTGGGATATGGGACACCTGAGTTTGTACCTGGGACACTAGGCCTTTATTCCCCCATCTGTATGGGGGGCGTGAAGGGGACATCAGGCTAGATCTTTACAATTTCTTTAATAATAGAATTTTTTTAACTTACCCAAAAGTAGAGTGAATAGTGAACCCTCATGTACCTGTCATCGAGCTTCCATAGTCATCAACACATGCCAGTCTTATTTCATCACTACCCCATCTATTCTTTTTCATTCCCCTGAAACCAGGAGTATTTTAAAGAAAAACAAAATATTGGATCGTTTCACTTGTAAATATTTCTGTATTTTTCTGTGATAGATCAGAGCTCTCTCTTTTTCTTCGTTTTTTTCCCCCTTAACGTAACTGGTAACAAAGTGCCATTATTACATCTGATAAAATTAATTTCTTAATGCCATCTGATATTTGATCTAAGCTAGATTTTTGAGGTTCCTTTGACTCTGAATCTATGGCCTAAGAAAGAGTCGTGAGGGCCAGTGCTAGTGTCCAGGGGAAGCTGGAAGTGTGACCTGATCCTCTATTTTGGTCTCTGATACCTACCAAGGAAAAGTGCCTTCTGATAGGAACTTTGAGCTGGAAGTAGAAAGACCTGTCTTCTAGTTCTGGCCCTGACTCCCAACCTCTGTGTGCCCTCTGTCTCTACTTTCTCATCTGTGAAATTGTGTTGATATTAAAGGGCTCTCAACTCCCTTCTAGGTCTGCTGTTCTCTCAGTCTGTGTATACTACCCCATGTCTGATGGGCTGGTCCAACTCAGGCTTCATTTTTGGCTGTGTCACTGATCCTTGATGTGACCCTGGGCAAGTAGCTTTTCCTTCTGAGGCTGTTTCCTCATCTGTAAAATGGAGATAAAAAGACCCTAGGTGGCATAGTACCTAAGGCATTTGACTGCTAACCAGAAGACTGGTGGTTCAGACCCATCAGCCACTCCTCGGAAGGAAGACTGGTTAATCTACCTGAGATGCTACCTCAGAAACCCAGGGAGGGGTCACTATAAGTTGGAATCCACTCTGAGTTTTTTGTTTGTTTGTTTGTTTAGTGTTGTAAGGATTACATGAAATAACTTAGGTAAATCCCTTTAGTGCCTGACACATAGAAGATCCTCATGGAATGATACCCATTACCATCGAGTCGATTCTGACTCATAGAACTGCCCCATAGGGTTTCCAAGGCTATAATCTTTATGGAAGCAGACTGCCACATCTTTCTCCTGTAGAGGGTTTGGTGGTTTTGAACTTCCAACCTTTTGGTTAACAGGGAAGTGCTTAATCACTGCACCACTAGGAGTACTTTCATGGTAGCACTGCTGTCAGTGGTACCTCTGAGCCACAAATATTTGTTGAATGGGCAGTGGACTCTGCTGGTCTAGGAGAAGCCCCAGTATTACTGCCTCTCTAGCTCAAGTTTGTATTCTCTCTGGGATGTTTCCTAGAAAGATAGTATGTTTAGAGGCATCATGGACAGAAAGAAGGCAAAGAAAGATTAGGTGGAGACCTTTTATGTGCCTGGCCCTGTGCTGCTGAGTCCTCAGATTATATGTGGGATAAGCCTGGCTATTAGTGGACTTAGGGTCAGGTGGGCCCCATCCCTGTTCCTCAGGGAGGGCAGTGGCACATCTGTGTCTTGGGCCATCTTTGAGGTAGACTTCGTTTCTGCATGTGTGTTTGTGTGTATGTATCTGTCTAGCTGTTCTCCTTAAACACTCCCTGGCCCCCCTATTGGGGCCTTCCAGTAAGGCTTACAGGAAGAGCTGATTGGGGCAGATTGAAGGCTTTTCCCTATCAGCACTATGTCTACCACATTTCCCCTGACTGGGCTGCCCTTGGCTTTTCTCTGTAAAACCTCAGAAGCCCCATGGCCTCTCCCCAGAAGTATGTGGCCTCTGGGTCTCTAGGCCTGATCTGGAGGTTTCCTTGGGGCAGAGTACACAGTACATGTGCCTGGGAAGGGGTCTTTGTCCTCAGGGTTTCTGTCAGCCCCTGCTTCCACCCTCAGTTGGACAGGAACAGAAGGCATTTGTCCTAGACTCTGGTCCCTGCAGGCTCTAATTTCTGGCCATGCATTGAATAACAAAAAGAACACATAACTAAGGGGAGTGCAGGTCCTTGATCCCTACTGTGTGCTAGGCATTCAGCTAGATGCTTCAGGCTTATCTACAAAATTAGGGTCATTATCCCATTGTGATGGTTATGTTTGTATGTCAGCTTCGCTAGGCCTGGTTGAGTGGCTGGGCAGCTGGATGTAGTATTCCCCATGATGAGACTGGTAATCAACTCCATGGTGGAATCTACTGGGAGCAGCTGAGTAGCTGCCTTTGGGTATGTGGTCTGCTTCCTGTATATAAGCAGAAGCTTTGAGAATGGTCTCTAGCCTATGGCACGCTTGGACCCTGCATGTAGCCATGTCGTTGCTCAGCAGCCTGCTATGCTCTGCCAACCTTGGGACTTAGAGTGGACTTAAGGTAATGGCCTGCCGTGTGGTTTGATAACATCGGGACTGTGCCTTTTTACTTGTCAACCTTGGGGCTTCACAGCCTCAGCAACTAGCAGCTGTCTGAGTGAAGAAACGCCTCTAGCTCCAGTGGGCTGGGAGCAGGAGGCAGAGCTGGACCCCAAGGTTGAGGGGCTTTCACCCAACCCCTTGAGCCTGGCACTTTGAAATTGGACCTAAAGCCTCCAGACTGTAAGAGAATAAATTCCTGTTTGTTAAGGCCATCCCATTGTGGTATATTTCTTGACAGAGCGGCACTAGGTAACCAGAACACCCATGAAACAGGAGAAAAGATTGAGACTCAGAAAAGGGAAATGACATATTTCATGGTCATTAGTGGTAGAGCTGGCATGGAGCCCAAAAGTGGCCAAAGGGACATGTTCTTTCTATGACCCTATGAGCCTTAGCTTCTTAGCTTAGCCTACAAGTGGCTGGGTGACCTTGGCTGTGTTCCTTGACCTCTCTGGGCCTTACCTCCTCCATCTAGGAGCATGTGGCCCTCTAATCTTGGGAATCCTGAGACAGGTGGCTTTCTGTCTTCTGTTTTGCTTCTGAGGTCTGGGTGTCCCCAGTGTGAACCACCATCCATTGTTTGTGCCTAATTTTCTCCTACCACCCCCTATCAGGGGACTCATCAACATCGGAGAAGGCTTGGGTGGAGTGGAGGTGGGAACTGAGTCCCAGAGGTATCCTGTGGCCCACCCTTCCCCCAACCAGGCCCTGCTATTCTCAGATAACCTCCTCCTGGAAACGTGAGTCTGCATTTCTTCCTTCCTCTCCCCATGTGGCTTTGACTCAGCAGAAACCTCTGGCCCTGGCCTTGGTCTCTGTGGGCAAAGTGGAGGCCGTGTGGGTGTGTGTGTCTGTCTGTCTGCATGGACCATGGGAGAGCATGCATGTTTTAGCATGGAGGCCCAGAAACGTTAGCCAGACCCACTCTTCTGGTCCTTTTGGTCTTTGAACATGGGCCACCGTCAATACTGGAAAGGATGGATCTTGGACCAATTTTGACTGTTTTATAAGTGGAGAAACTAAGGCCTCACAAGAAAACCAAGACCCTATCTAACTCACACAGTTAGTGTCAAAACATAGGTGTTTGAGGTTGAAGCAGGCCACAGAAGGAGAAGATTCCCATGGGTCACTTCCTATACACTAGCTTCCTTTGACCTTTCTCTGCCTTTCCTCCCTCAATTTTACCATCTTTGCTGTGGAAATCCTAGAGCAGAGGAGCTAGGCATCTCAGAGGCTGTTGAGGGGGCTGAGTTCTGCTGTCCCCCGTACAGCTCCCTACTGAGGATGTGATGGTTGGGGCCATAGGCTAGGTCACAACCACAGCTTTTTGACAGGCAGGTGAAGCCTTTTTCTAGCTCATTTACTCAGAAGGGCCACAGTTCTCACTGGACCCAGAGAGACTTGGATGACAGACTGGGTCCTTGACGCCCCCAGCACCACACATGTGTGGTTTGTTTGCTTCCTTTTATCCTTAACTGGACTTATTGTATGTAGCTTATTTAGAAGGCAGGCATGTAGCAACCTGGAGGCACTGGGGGGAGGCAGTTCCCACTCACATGCCTTTAACGCAAATGGTAGAGCCCTGTATTGAAACTTCTTTATAAAGATAGTTCAGGTTCTCCTGTCTTCTCTACAGAGCTACTGAGTAGTAAATGCTGATTACATGTTAGGGACCTAGAGGTGGAAAGATGACAGAGGTGTAGGGGACATTGCCCCTGGCGGCAGAGAAGGTTGAGGCAGGTTTGTTAGAGCTATTGGTTATCCTCTACCCCTGACAAAGACTAGGAAACAGGTAGAGGAGTTCTTCAGTTTGTACAGCTTCACATCTTATCCAGCCTTCAGCTTTTCCTGGTTGATGGCAAGAACATCTGTTCATTGAATGAGATAGTGCTCAGTTGGATTTTTGTGGGGTATTTGGTCCCAGAAACTATCTCAGTCAGGATCTGTTGGCTGTATCCATTCCTATTCTTGTGTCTCTGTGTGCCCAAAGAAAGGGAAGAAGTGGGGTGGGGGGTAAGGTTCATACTATTTCTGTGGCCCAAGTGAAGAGTCTAAGTCCCTGATACCTGTTTTCTCCTTCCTGTCCCCAATCCTTCCCTGGGTTCCAGTTATTCCTGTTTGTGCTTATGGGGAAACTGAGACAGACAGGATCAGACCTGGTCCCCAGGGGGTCAGGCAGCTTAAATGCTAGCTAGATTAGGGGTGGGGGGTTGGTAATATCACCTGGAGCCAGCAGTGCTTCAAGTCACGAGTTACTTTTTGCAAAGCTTGACCTCACCTTCACTCCCTATCCTCACTGGGGAAGGGTTGAGAAAGGGCTCCTTTGCCTACAGAGCTAACCTTGCCTATGGCAGATGCTCTGGTCTGCAGCCAGGACAGTGATGCCTAGCTTTAAGCTTAGCTCTTGGGATGTGGAGTTCCATAGGCTAAGGTTTCCAGTGCTTGAATTAACCCCTTCCCAAATGTATCACTTTGGGCCAACTGTGGCACATTCCTGTATGTCAGTATCCCTCCTGGGAAAAGTAGAGTTGTTTTTGTGAGAATTAAATGATTTGGAGTGTGACAGTCCTTGGTAGGTAGAACTAATGACAGTATTGCACTGAGGATTTCTGAGCCCTATTTGGGTTGGGAACAGGTGGGGCAGTAGGGGACCCTCTTCCAGCTGGAGTCTTGGAGGGGAGAGCAGGTGCAGATTGCCCACAAGGGTAGCGTCAGCAAGAGGAGAAGTTTCAGTTTCTATCAAAACAAGTTCTGTGAATTCCCCTACCTCTGTAGGTCCACTGAGCCCTTCTTTCCCTTACCTCATGTCCCCACACAGGGAAGTCCAAGCCTGGTCCCCAGCTGCATGTGCCAACCTTCTGGGAGGAGGAGGGCTTTCTGGATGACAAAGGTGGGGCTAGAAGAATCAGAAAAGCTCATTCTTATTGAGTCTTATGTCTGAGCTGGGTGCTTTTCCTGCCCTATGTCATTGAATAAACAACTTCCTGTCTCCCTTGTTGGGAAGGTATAGTTGTTCTGTGTCCTTGGTTCAAAGGTACACATTTTCTTCCACATTAATGATCCCAAATTAGAGTACATCTTAAAATCAGTGTGGTGGGATTTCCCCCTAAAAAAGCTGTGATTAGATACTTATGGTACCATACTAATCAGTGACATCTTAGGATCGAGAGAAGGGGATACTTTACATTTTACTGATGAGTGGGGAATTATCAGACCTTGTCCATATTTAAGGACCCTGTTTGTGAAGTCTGTGCTATTAATCTTTGTAATTGATTGCTAAAGTTTCAAGCTAAGGGGACAAAAGGTGGGCTTGTGTACCTTTGGATTCAGTAAAGGTACAAGGACCATTTTCCTTTGGTTGTGGAAGTACAACAAAAATGGGGAAGGGCTTACTGAGTGCTCCTGGTGACACTGGCTGATGTGTGGGCGGCTAGGAATCTGAAGGACAAATGTAGCTCCTGTTTCTTGAATACCTACTATGCCTCATGTGTTATGCAAACCTTCCCCTGAAGTCTTGCCAACACCCTGTGAGAGGAAGAGTTGCTTTCCCTGCTGTATGAATGAAGACATTGAGACCCAGAGAAGTTAAAGATGTTGTCCAGTGTCACACAGCTAGGAGGCAGCAGAGTCTTTCTGTGAGGCTTTAATGCCTCGATTGAGTGAGGCAGAGGTGTCAGTGGCAGGGACACAGGGCCCCTCGTGAGATTCTCCCCAGCTGCCTCCCTTTTCCCACAGTCTCCTCTTTCGCCCATTTTTCTGCATCTGAGATCTAGATTAGACATGTATATATCTCCCAGGCCTGGAGATGAAAGTTAGCCCTTTCATAGGAGATAGGTTTTCTCCAACATGTCAGTATATCTGAGTCTGGCAGGCCTGCTCCTGTTTAACCCCTTCACTCCCATCTTAGTTCCTGTTTACTACAGCTGCCAACAGTACTGCCTCCCTGGAGCCCCAAGCTCAGCCTACAGAAATAGCTCCCCAAGCAGCTTGGGCAGCCACAGCGGGCTCTGTGGTCCTGGCTTCTAAGAAAGGCAGCAGTAGGGGGCCCCCAGCCCGTGTGCAGGGCATGTGACTTGTTGGAAGTGCCACTGGAGGAGTGGGGGTGGGGATGGGGGAGAGTGTAGCCACAGAACCCACATCCTTGTTTACATCAGTGAAGGGGCTACCCCTTCCCACCTTCACAACCCCCACTCCTCCTTCTCCCCTCAGGTCTCTGTACCTCTAAGAGGGCTTGAGAAGAGTCAGGGCTCATTTTCTGTCTCAGAGCAGCCTTCCCTTATCTCACAGAACTCTCCAGGGAGGGAAGGAGAAGATAGTGAAGACATTCTTCTGGCCATTTTCAGCTGGGTAGATTGATGATCATGGAAGAAATCTGGAGTTCTGTTCCCCTGCATTGACCTGTTCCTACCCCAGTGCCCTAGGGAGAATCCATCAGAGCAGCAGTCTTCTTGGGGGGGGGGCGGAATTCCCTTTTCATCTTCACTGGTAGAAATCAGTCTTGCTTGATTTCTAAGCCCACCTTACATTTCCCAGGGAGAAGACCTCTGTGGCTCCCTCAACTTGTCCATTCATTCAGCAAACTTTACCTGATTTTCTTTACTGTATTAGGCCCTGAGCTGGAGGTGGACTTAAATGTGAGCTACCACCTGCTCTCAATGAGAGCCCAGTGACTGGGCAGATGAAGGCTGTGCACTCACTCCCTTGGTACATCGGGTAACAAGTGCCCTTGTGGCATGAGAAGTGGAAACTATGTTAAAGGACACATTGATGCTTGACAAGTAGACGTCCTAGAAGGAGGGAAAGGGCATCCTGGAAAAGGACAGTTCATTTGTCAAGATCCTCAAGCAAGGCAGAGGAAGCCTGGTTCCTTCCCTTCTTGATTCGACCAAAACTTCAAGACACTTGGACTCTTTGGGCTACAAGCTCCTTTCTTGACTTAGGCTTAAGTTAGGTACATATTATATCTTCACTCTCTTACTCTGGGCTATGTGTTTCTTACAGGCAGGGGCAGGATTTTCCTCACCTGTCTTTGCAGCACCCCACATTCAGGCTTCAGTGTGGGGAGGGGCTCTCTAATTTACTGAGTGACTCCATCCCAAGCCCAATGTTGCACTTTGCACCCATTACCTCATTCAGTCCTATATGAGGCCTGCTGGGTAGTTACCCAGCTTGTCCCTGTTTTACAAATGAGGCACATGAGACTCAGAACCCTTGCCTGTGATCACTCAGCTCTCTAGGACCTGGTAGAACTGAGCTTAGAGCTGAGATTTTATTTTGTTTTAACTTAAAAAGATCTCATTGACTACTGGGACTCAGGAAAACTGAATTCCAGAGTTGACTCTGGCACAGATTGACTTTCTGTGTGACCTTGGGCAAGCCAAAAACCCTCCCTGAGCCTGTTCCCTTATGTAGAGTATAAGAGGAGGGTAGAATCAGTGGTGCTCGAGGCCATTTATGGGACTTAAAATGTTTGTTGACTTGTCTGAGTGGCCAGGCAAACTCTAGATAGTCATTTGCCCAAGAGAGGCCTCTGCTTCTGTCCCTGTCATCTGAGCTCTCTTGTTCTTCTTGTGCCTGCCTGTCTCTTTTGCATGGCCCCAACCCACAAGGGGAAGAACTAGGCTTTGGGGTAGGAAAGGGAGTTTCCCCAGCTTCCCCAGCCCACAAGAATGTTCCTTGACTCAGGATTTTTCTCTGATGGCAGTTCGAATCCCATCCTCTTCTTTCTTCTATTCCACAGCTGACCAGGTGTATGGAGACCAGGATATGCATGAAGTTGTGCGAAAGCACTGCATGGACTATCTGGTAAGACCTTATGGAGGCCTTGGGGCAGGGGCAAGAAGGGAGGATCTCCTTTCTACACAGACCTTGACCATCCCATCTGTTCTACAGATGAAAAATGCCGACTACTTCTCCAACTATGTCACAGAGGACTTCACCACCTACATCAACCGAAAGCGGAAAAACAACTGCCACGGCAACCACATTGAGATGCAGGCCATGGCGGAGATGTACAACCGTCCTGTGGAGGTGTACCAATACAGCACAGGTACTTCTCTGGTGGATAGGTGAGAGACTGATGGTGCCTTGTCTGAGCCTGCCCTACAGGCCCACTGTGGATACTCCCTCGTTCTCTCTCTCTGCAGAACCCATCAACACATTCCATGGGATCCATCAAAATGAGGATGAACCCATCCGTGTCAGCTATCATCGGAATATCCACTACAATTCAGTGGTGAATCCCAACAAGGCTACTATTGGCGTAGGGCTGGGCCTGCCATCATTCAAACCAGGGGTGAGTGGGCCTCCATGCTTGAAATGGCTTTTGGAATCTCTGTTCTGCCCCTAGCTCACAAAAATGTCTCTTCCCCTCTCCGGGTCTCCCTTGAGGTCTCACCTCCATAAAATTAAGTAGTTACCTGAGGTATTCTTTAATTATGTGGTCTCAGTTTGCTTGTCTGTGAGCTCATCTATCTTTTGTGCCTGTTGAGAGTTGACATTTAGAATATGGAGCCAGATTTGGGAACAGTGTGCCAAGGCTTGGTCTGGGTATCTTAGCGTCCACCTGGATTCCCCTCTTAACTCAAAGCAGTTACAGACAGCTATCATCACAGGTACCTGAATGCAGCCCTGGCCTCACCACTTAGTGGCTGTGGGACCATAGGCAGATTGTGCAACTACTCTGAGCTGGCAGCTTGATTGATAGAGGAAGTGCCTAACACTGGCCTGATGCGTAGCAGGTGCTCAGAAGGTGTGAAACATTTTCCCAGAACACACTGGTATATTCAAACAGTCTGCTGGGGATTTTGATATCTTCTATTCTGGTTTCACTTCCTACAAACAAAGTGCTCCTCCTCATTTTAAGAAACACATACCCTAATATCAACACACCTTCCACTATAAGTGTTTTTAAAAATGAACTTAAATTTAGAAAAGTTTTAGCTTTTACTGAGGAAAATACAGAGAGTTCCCATATACCCCACACCCAGTTTCCTCTATGATTAACATCTTATTTTGTTGTTGTTATGTGCCATCGAATCGGCCCCGACTCATAGTGACCCCTCCTTGGGTTTCCGAGGCAGTATCACTACGGAAGTAGAATTGTCCAACCTTCTTCCGAAGAGTGGCTGGTGGGTTTGAACCGCCAGCCTTCTGGTTAGCAGTCAAGTGCTTTAGCCACTGTGCTACCAGAGCAACATCTTATATTAGTATGGTACTTTTATCTCAACTATCGAACCAATAGGAGCTCTGATGGCATAATGCCTAAGGCATTTGACGCTAGCCAGAAGGCTGGCAGTTCAAATCCATCGGCCACTCCTGAGAAGGAAGGTTGGGCAATCTACTTCTGTAGTGATACTGCCTTGGAAACCCAAGGAGGGATCATTATGAGTCGGATCTGACTCGATGGCAGTGAGTTTGGTTTTAGTTTTTTGGTAATGAACCAAAATATACTGGTATATTATTAGTAGAGACCGTAAATTATTCCAATTTCCTCAGTATTTCCCTAATGACCATTATCTAGATCCCATCCAGGATAATACCACATTACGTTTAGTCCTCATATTTCTTTAGGCTTGACTGTGACGGTTTCTCAGACTTCCCTTGTTTTTGATCTGTTTACTGTTTCTATAGTTCTGTCTTTTCAGACATGTCACATAGTTGGAATCATACTGTATTATAGCTTTTTCAGACTGGCTTTTTACATTTAACACTGTGAATTTAAGATTCCTTCGTGACTTTTTGGGCAATCTACTTCTGTAGTGATACTGTCTCCGAAACCAAAGGAGGGGTCGCAGTGAGTCAGATCTGACTTGATGGCAGTGAGTTTGGTTTTTGTCATGACTTTTTGGAGGTTTGATAGCTTTCTTTTTTTCCTTTGAATTTGATTGGTTTAAGTTTTCTTTTTATTATTAGACCTTCTTTTTTAAAAAAACTTATATAGGAAAAAATGAGACAGATATGACAGTTCCCATATCCTCCCCCCTCCACAGGATGATGGTGGTACGTTTGTTCCAATTAATGAACCAATATTGATACATTATTATTAACAAAAGTCCTCTTGTCTGTGGCATTTTCTCATACTTTCTTTGTCTTTGATGGCCTTGAAAGTTTTAAGGAGTATAGGTTGATTGTAGCATGCCCCTACACTGCAATTTGTCTGATGTTTTCTCAAGATGAGACTGGAATCGGGTTTTAGGGAGGAAGATCACAGTGGTAAAATATCATTTTCATCACATCCTATCAAGGGATATTGTATCAACATGATTTATGACTGTTGATGTTGACCTTCATCAGCAGGCTGAGGTAGTGTGTGTCAGGTTTCTCCACTGTAAAGGTACTTTTTTTTCCCCTTTTCCATACTTTACTCATTGGAAGGAAGTCGCTATGTGGAGCCCACACTTAAGAGGTGGAGAGTTATGCTCCATCTCCTCCAGGGCAGAACATCTACATAAATTATTTAGAATTCTTGTGCAAGGGAGATTTGTCTCTTCTTCCCCACTTATTTGCTTGTTCAGTCATTTACTTATTTCCATATGAACTCCTGGATATTTATTTTACATACTGGATCATAATCCAATACTACTTCTACTTATTTTGTTGCTCACATTGTTCTGGCTTTGGCCTTTGTGAGTTCTTTCAGTTGGTTCCCATTTCCCTTTGATATACTGCCATCATTGGGCATTTTTTGGGGGAGGGCAGCTCATCTTGTGTATATTTTGTGCCTCAGTTGTAGAGTTAGCCACGTCTTTAAGGAGTCTTGCTTCCCTTTTTTTGGAGAATGTTATTAGAAAACAAGATCTGGGTGCTAGGTGTTGCTCCTTGCTCTTAGACCCTCTCAGCTAACAGGGCAAAGAGATGTGTGTGTACTTAAATGTGCATATACATACATCTTTAAATATTTCTATATGTTATCATCTGTATCTATATTTAAGGTAAACCTCAGTTCTTGCTGATGTCTTCAACTTGAATCCATTATTGCCAGGATCATTCTAGCCTCCTCCCATTGTTTATCTGTAAATTCCAATTCCTACAGTGAGAAACCTGACTCCCATCCATTTACATAATTGCTCACTTTCAATATACATGTGTAGCACTATCAGGATTGTTAACCAGTACCCTCATGAGAAACAACTTTATTAACTACAATACAGTGCTGTTACTTTTGCCTTTAGTCTTATAGACCCCACTCATTTCCAAGTTAGTTAGGTCAGCATTTTCCTCCCATTTCCTTCAGTTAGGTTGCTTGATACAATTAGATTTTTTTGTCATATTTCTGTATTTCATCCTGACATCCCCTGACCTCCTAAATTATCTTTGTTGTTGTTACTGTTATTGTGATGAAAACATACACAACAAGACATTCACCAACAAAAAAACTTCCACATTTACAGCTCAGGGACTTTGGTGACATTTTTCATGTTGTGCCACCATTATTGCTATCCTTTTCCAAACCCCCTAAATCATCTTACTGAAAAATTTGCATACAATAGGGTTTACTCTTTGTGCTATAAAGTGAATTTTGACAACTGCATGTCATGTATCCACCATTACACTGTCAGAATAGTTTTTACCACCCTACAAATTTCCTGTGCTTTGTATATGCAGTTCTCCCTCCCACCACCACTCACTTCTGAATCCTTGGCCGTCAGTGATCTATTTAGCATCTCCATAGTTTTGCCCTTTCCAGAATGACATGTAATTGGAATCATAAAATATGCAGCTTTTTTTTTTTTAAATAAGATGGCTCCAAGATTTTTTGTGGCTTGATTAGTTCTCTCTTTTTAAAAAAAATTTGATTGGCTTAAGTTTTCTTTTTATTAACAGACCTTTTAAAAAAACTGTTTTAAATTTATAAAAAAAATGAGACAGCTATGACAGTTCCACATCCTCCCCCTCCACACATACACACACACACACACACACACAATTTGACTATTATTAACATCTTAGATGACTGTGATACATTTGTTACCAACTAATGAACAAATATTGATACATTATTATTAACAGAAGTCCTCTTGTCTGTGGCATTTTCTCATACTTTCTTTGTTTTGATGGCCTTGACAGTTTTAAGGAGTATAGGTTGATTGTAGCATGCCTCTACACTGCAATTTGTCTGATATTTTTCTCACAATGAGACTGGAGTTGAGTTTTAGGGAGGAAGATCACAGTGGTAAAATGTCATTTTCATCACATCCTATCAAGGGATATTGTATCAACATGATTTATGACTATTGATGTTGACCTTGATCAGTAGGCTGAGGTAGTGTGTGTCAGGTTTCTCCACTGTAAAGGTACGTTTTTCCCCCTTTTCCATACTTGACTCATTGGAAGAAAGTCGCTATGTGGAGCCCACACTTAAGAGGTGGAGAGTTATGCTCCATCTCCTCCAGGGCAGAACATCTACATAAATTATTTAGAATTCTTGTACAAGGGAGATTTGTCTCTTCTTCCCCATTTATTTACTTGTTCAGTAATTTACTTATTTCAGTAGGAACGCCTGGATATTTAATTTATGCATGGAGTCATAATCCGATACTACTTTTACTTATTTTGTTGGTCACATTTTTTCGGCTTTGGCCTTTTTGAGTTCTTTGAGTTTTTTCTTGTGTCTCTTTGACATACTGGCATCATTGAGAAGTTTTTTTTTTTTATTATTTTTGTTACTTTATTTTTTTGAAAGAGGAGTGATACCTCGTTACTTTCTGGCACTACAAGGTGCACATCTTTCAGTTAGATTGCTTTATACCTTTGCAGTACAGTTAGATTCTTTTTTCACATTCTGTGTTTCATCCTGGGGTCCCCCAAACTCCTAAATGATCTTATTAAAAAATCTGCAAGCATTAAGGTACACAGAATACACTTGTCACTTATTGACATATTTAGATTCCAAAAACAAGGTCATTATGTGAAAATCAGTGTTATGTGAAAATGGAGGATGACTGTATCATTACATAATTGTCAAATTACATCATTATATAAATGCCAAATCATTGAGAATCATGCCCAGCCAAGTTGACATATAACCTTAACCATCATAGCCAGTGTTACTCTCACCCTGTACCTTGGCATTTGTTACTGCCAGACATATGTGATTAACGCACAAAATAGTCAGATAGTAGATTTTTTACTATTGTTGTAAATGCGAAATGTTGGGATAACAAGATAGTCGATAAGTGAGGAAGTAGTTTCACCACCCTAAAATCCCCTGTTCTCTGCCAGTTGGTCCTCTCTTCTTTCTCAATTAATCCTTGGGAACCACTAATCTTTTTATTGTCTCTTACAAAAAGAAAAACCAAACCTGTTGCTGTTGAGTTGATCCTGACTCATAGCAACCTTACAGGACGGAGTGGAACTGCCCCATAGTTTCCAAGGCTATAATCTTTACTGAAGCAGACTGTCACATCTTTCTCCCACAGAGAAGCTGGTGGGTCTGCACTGTCATCCTTTTGGTTAAAACCACTTCACCACCAGGACTCTTACTGTCTGTTTTGCCTTTTGTAGAATGTCATATAATTGGAATCATAAAGTATGTAGCCTTTGCAGACTGGTTTCTTTCACTTAGTAATATGCATTTAAGATTTCTCTCTATTTTTCAGTAGTTTAATGGCTCTCTTTTCCCTCATTTTTTGATAGCTCTTTTTTATTGCTGAGTAATATTCCATTGTACAGATATACCACAGTTTACTCACTCACGTATTAAAGGGCATCTTGATTGCTTCCAGTGTTTCAAAGTGATTATAAATAAAACTTTTGTGTCTGGGTTTTTGTGTGGATATACATTTTCATTATCACTTGACCATATAACTAGGAGTGCAATTGCTGGATCATGTTTTAAGAGTATGTTTAGCTTTGCAGAACTGCCAAGCTGTCTTCCAAAGTGGCTGTACCATTTTGCATTTCCACCAGCAGTGAATGAGAGTTCATGTTCATCTTCCATCAGCAGTTGAAATTGTCAGTGTTTTGGATTTTAGCCATTCTAATACGTGTGTAGTGATACCTCATTGTTTTAATTTGGAATTGCATAATGACAAATGAAAGAGCCTGGGTGGCACAGTGGTTAAAATGCTCAGCTGCCAACAGAGGTTCAAACCCAGCAGCCACTTCACAAGAGAAAGATGTAGCAGTCTGCTTCTGTAAAGATTTATAGCCTAGGAAGCCCTATGGGGCAGTTCTACTTTGTCCTTTGGTGTCACTATGAGTCAGAATTAACAGCAACAGGTTTGTTGTTTTTTAGTTAATGACAAATGATACGGAATATCTTTTCTTATACTTACCTGCTACCTGTATATCATCTTTGGTGAGGTGTGCATTTAAATATTTTGTCCACTTAATTGGCTTATTCCAACATAGAATTTTACTTTTTTTTTTTCTTTTACTATTACCTAAGGAGCAGCTCTGGTAGCATCGTGCCTATGGCACTTGAGGCACTTGACTGCTAACCAGAAGGCTGGCAGTTCAAACCCACCAGCCCCTCCTCAGAAGGAAGGTTGGGCAATCTACTTCCATAGTGATCCTGCCTTGGAAACCCAAGGAGAGGTTGTTATGAGTTGGATACAACTCAATGGGATTGAGTTTGGTTTGGTTTTAGGTGGCTTAAAACAAGAGATAGACCGAGTAGTTGAACCTGCGGGCTGGGACCATAGTCGCAGGGCACATCAAGCTCAATTGGCATAACATACTATACAAAACATTGTTCCACCTCCTACTTTGG